TTTTAGTCCAGGCCAAAGAAGCAGGTTGTGACCAGAATTCTCTGACAGTCTGTCTATATTTAAAGATTTTCTATTTATAATTCCAGGTATAATTTTAGAATCAGGTTAATGCCTACTGAAACAGATACTAGAAGATCAGTCATCAGTCATTCTAGCTCAGCAGCAGGTCAGCGGTGAAAGATGCTTTTATTAAAACGTTGACTAATTCTTGTCAGTCACTTCAGTGACTTTTCCAGTGTGTGATGACTGACACAACACCAGAGGACCACAGTCATCCTCCAATTACAGCTCGTGAATAATGAACTGCCCAGAAAAAAAAAGCCCACAGCCCAATCAAAATGCATTAAACATGTAGAGAGCTCAGGACAATTTTGACACAAAGAAGTCAGAACAGCTACAGTAAATGAAAGAGGCTTCACAGTTTAAAACACAGGTTTCAGCAGCGTGGCTAAAGCTAAATGTTGACGCACATACACGGAGAAATGGTTAGCTTTCAATTAGGACAGTGAGATTACTTTGTGTGTGCGTGTGATTTATTAGGGACCGTGAACCCTCCTGGGACAAACCCTGAGGTCCACTAAGACATCATTAAGCCATTACAACACACGTAACTGTCCCCAGGAGAACAGAGTCTGACAAAAAAGAAGAGCCGAGTGAACAAGTAGATCAATAGATCTATCAGAGTTTAGCTCAGTCCACAGCCTGAAGGAAACGTTTGCTGTGCTGAGTCATCTCCCTCTTTCTGAGGGTTCATGTCTCAATCCACTTCTTACTCATGCTGTTGCTGTTTTAATCATTCGGGTTGGAAACTAAGAAGTAGTTTGCAGTTATTGTAAAATCTCCAAATAAAAGACTCAGAAATGAAACATCAAACCTTCTCTCCCTTCAGGCTCGTTGGGTCCAGGGAGGGCGACGGTTCATCCTGTTTTCCCGGTACATCATTTCCTGGAGGAAGGCGAGTCGTTTCTATCGTTGGCAATAGAGACCACTCTGATTGGTTTGGGGCAACAGAGGGCGATGCCTGATGGTCTATACGCCCAGGAAAAAGTGTGTCGGAATGAAGAGCAACTGTTGGCCAAGCTACAGGAAGTGGAGTTAGACGACTCCTTGGTCAAAATCTTCCAGAAG